GGATTTTGGAGGGCTGTCCAGTCGGTTCGAGTCTCAAGAGCTTTCCAGGGCGATTTGTTCCATGTAACCCACGCATTGCGGATGGGAGCGGCCGTTTCCTGAGTCAATCTTGTTAGAAGGCTGCCAGCCGGATTGTGCGTCGCATTAGTCCGGGGGTGCAGTGCGAATGTGCCCCTTGCGCTTGTCAAGAGTCACATTTCGTTTGCGTCCGGCGGTATTTCTCGCGGAAGCGACGCTGGGAAATTTGTCGGGGGGTCCTCAAAAGGTTTTTGGAAGGCCACGGGCGAGATTGCATTTTTCATAGTCTCGGGGACTCGCCCTGGATCGAAATACCTAGCTTTGGCATGGTATAGGAAATTCTACTTTTTCACTTGACATTCGCCCAGAAAGCTTGGGGAGATGGCCGCGACCTGGACATTCCCAAACGTGAACATTCTTTTACTTCGCAAGGCGGCCTACACTAATCGACGTAGTCGAAGCATTCCGAAACGGTCTGATTCGAATCACGAGTTGCAACATTTTCCCATTTGATCCGATCATCTGTAATGGGATACCCTTATTCCCAAACCTCTTCATTTCATGTCCGCTCGCTGTGATTCCGTCGATCCCTGGCGCGGGAATCCCTCTGCGATGTCTCGTAGAACGTAAAGCCCCGGGTTCTCCAGAATTGCCAGGCGGCTCGCAGGCTCGTATAAAGCACTGGCGATTGTTAGGACGCACCTCTGGAGACACATGCGGCGAGAACGGTCTGCTTGCAGCGACGAGCACCAAAAGGAATATTGAAAACACTTGCGCGCGCAACACTTTCCACCCCGTTGACTTCGACGAAGTTTCGACCGACGAGTTTCGACCGATGAGTGTTTCTTGTGCGGTGTGGGCAAACGCGCGCGCGGAATCTGAGGTGCAGTCGCTGTGCGCGTGTGCGCACACTTATTCAAAGGCTCGTGCTCCGTGCTTCTGGTTTTCCCTTTATCCTCTTCCTCCGTGCTGGGATCCCCGTCTGAAGACCGACGCCATTGAGTTCCCCCAGCGGATTCCTCAGAAGAGCAGCTGTCGGTCTGCGCCCCAACGTCCATGCAAGCATGCACACGGACACTACCAAACTTTATTTCAAGACAACTCTCATTTGACTGCTCTCCCTCACCTCCTTCACATGCTGGACACACTGCGGCAAAGTCTTCAGGCTGGTACTGCGGTCCATCGTCCCAGGACGGGCTCTTCGAAATCCCCTGGTCTTTCGACTGGGACTGGGGTGCAACCTCAGCTGACCTGTTACCTTGCTGGTTTGCTCTGCCTTTGCAGTCAAACCTACACTCTGAAGTCCAATGGCAATTCGACAATGTCACACCATTTGGACTGCGAGCCTTTTCCGCCAGCAGCTTTGTCGGACGGCTTCCCGGGCCCTTGCCAGCCAGGGCGACCCCAGGAGGAACCTGACTGCCATTGCTGGGGGTTCCTCTCTCCCCTTTCCCAGCACCGACCTTGCCTGCACAACCCTTGTCCCCGTACTTCCCTCCTTGATGCTTTCCTTTCCCTCCTCCTGTCTTTCCTATTTATCCTCCTGAGTAGAATCCGCTTCCTCCATTGGTTTTCCCTCCTGCATGGAGTCCGTTCCCTTCTCCTGTCTCTCCTCCTTTCCTCTTGGATGTGAACGGATCGACTTCTATGGGCCTGTTATTGAGCTCGCTTCCTGATTTGGCTTTTCCCCCCCCCCCCCCCCAGTCTCGCTTTCCCCGGACATGCGCTAAAATCTTCTGCTGGAGCTTCTCATAAGTCTCATACAACTCCGTGTTCAACTCAAAATGCCCATTCCTGGTTTCTGGAATCGTTTGGACAAATGCTGTGATTTTCACGTCGTCGGAACACCCCTCTGGATTCGCAGGATCATCGTACTGATGCACAGTATCTTCGAACTCTGCCCGTTTCTCCAGTAAGCTGTCCAGACGATCGGTGTAGAAATCGTAACTCAAGATTGCTGGCATGAGTCACCTACGTGTGTTTCGATCGTTGGGATCATGTCGGGCGCATGCTTGCCGCTACATTTCGAAGAGGTCTCCCTTTTCAAGCTTGCGATACACCTTGGCCATTTCTCTTTTGACACGGCTTCCCAACATGTATGCAATATTGGCCGCATGCTGTTTCGCATTTGTGGCCATCTCTGAAAGTTTTAGAGCATTTTGCCTCGTTCTTGCGAGTTCCATGTTTTCCAACGTTTCACTGCTCACTGCACCTGCATAGTTCTCAAACTGAGGTGATCAATCTGGCCAATCAGCACCTCGGCCCGAAAACTCTTTGACGTTCTTCCCAGGAAGTTTCGTATCGATGACCCCTCGTGCCATTTGTTTCTTATGGGACTGTTCTGAGAACCGTTCCCCAGTTTTTCCGTGGATCTGAAACCTACGATTTCATCAAAGAACGCTCCGCTGCCATGTAAGAGAGCAGACGCGTTTTTCTTCGGGTGAGCTTGACCCAGGCCGGCTGCGGAACGGACGCGCTGAGAGAAGCAAAACGAGAAACGCGAGAGATTGGGACAAGTGCTTGATCTCTTACAGGAAGAGGAAGAGGAGGAGAATGAGGAAGAACATAACTAATACAAATGATCACACGCACAAGCACAATGAGAAGCATATTAAGAGTAAGGACACACAGACTACGCATACTATTGTAGTAACAATACGAATAGTAAGAGTAATAGTGTTAACAATAATAATGCGAACAGTAAGACTAATAGCACTAACAAGACAAACAAGCAACATACTAAAAATCATGATGATAATAATGAGAAGATCAAGCAATAGTAATAACAAGAGTAGTAATACTAATACGAATTCGAAAACTAAGACTTACAATAATAATAGTACCCGTAATGATAAGACGAGCAATACTACTGATACTAAGAACGATACTACTCACACAAATGATAATAGTGGCAATACTTTGAGAATAATCAAACTAATAGTTGTAATTAGAAGAATATTAAGACTACTAATATCAGTCATACTAGTAATATTAATATGACTAATAACAAGACCAATGAACATACTAATTATAAACATATTCATAATAGTAATGCTAATACTGCTAATGATGCTAGATACTAGTGTCAAGACTAGTAAAATAATAATGCAGAGGATACTCATACTAACATTAATAATTTACATAATCATACTTCAATCATGGTAGTAAGACTAAGGAATAGTCTGTTAATAACCACACTAATGGTATACTAATAATAGGAATACTTATGCTAATGCTAACAAGAGCAAAGGAAGAGGACTACTCATACGAAAAGTACTAATAATACTCGTACTAGTTAGAATAATTAATAATACAAACAATGCTACTATTAGTAATAATGACAGAATTAATACGGAAAGGAATAATGACACAAGCATTCGTAATATAGTAAGATTAAGAACGCTACTAATAATACGAATACCAATAAGAACAAACATGCGAATAAGAAGAAGAGGAGGAGGAGGAAATGGTGGACGAGACGGACACGGGGTAGGAGCATGAGCTGGCGCCCCACGCCCGCCTTCGACGCGGCGGGAGCGGCAAAACGCGAGTCTCCGCCGCTGCCCTGCCGCCAGGCGCCGCACCTTGGGACGCTGGACGGCGGCCCCGAGGCGCCGCCGCAGCCGTCGCCGCCGTCATCGCCGCCACCGGCACCGCCAAAACATCGTCGGAGTCGGAGATGGAGCTTGGCAGCGGAGCCGCCAAATTGTTTTTCTGTTCACAGCTGACTGTTTGCAGGCCCCACCTCTAACGAAAAGCCGGAACTACAAATGTTCGGAAATTGAGCGACGGAAAGGAAAGGGTGAAGAGTGGTGGACGTGAAGAAAGATGAGGAGGATGAGGATGAGTATGAGGACGAGGACGAGGATGATGATGAGGAGGAGGAGGAGAAGGAGGAGGAGCAAGAGGAGGAGGAGGAGGAGGAGGAAGAGGAGCATGAGGAGGAGGAGGATGAGGAGGAGGAGGAGGAGGATGAGGACGAGGACAAGGAGGAGGAGGAGGAGGATGAGGATGAGGAGCATGAGAAGAGAAGCAGCAGGAGGAGCAGAGGAGCAGGAGGAGGAGCAGGAGGGGGATGGGAATGCGCAGGGGGCAGAGGAGAGGGCGGAGGTTTTTTTTTGCCGTGCGGCCCAAATACGCCAGGGGCGTCGAAGTCCTAGTCCGGTATACAGAGGGCCAGGAATCCAGGAGAAGCGGCCAAGCCCCAGGGAGCGGGAGTAGGAGCGGCGGACGTGGACGGGGGGGTCGAGGAAGGGGAGCGTGGACGAGGCCGCGGGCGCGGAGGAGGAGGGGGGCTGGGGAAAGGGGAGGCGGGGGGGGAGGATTATGTGGTGGATTTTGATGATGATGATGATGATGATGATGATGATGATGATGATGATGATGATGATGATGATGAGGATGAGGATGAGGATGAGGATGAGGATGAGGATGAGGATGAGGATGATGATGAGGATGATGATGATGAGGAGGAGGAGGAGGAGGATGGCTCAGCTCAGCCATCGCTCAGGCACGTGCTTGTTTGCGAGGCTTTCAGAGTGCACCTGCGCTGATCACCCCTGCAGCAGGAACATTTTGCCTCGCAATGTTTGTTACTGCTCGTCGTGCTTTGACGTGATATCTCATTGTGAAAGGGGCGCATGTGCACATCACGGTCGGGTGCTCCGCTCACCAAGGACGAACCAACGCAAACATCAGGATTTTCCAGTCTCGTGGCCGTACCTCGATGGCCATTCGCTTAGAGACACCACGTGGCAATCACTGTTGATCGAGGCCACTTGCACTCAGACGGTTGTAGTGAAATTTGCCTCTGGCTCGATTCCCCATCGGTGGCACCAGCGCCACCTGGCTTACACGATGGGCATGCGTGCGAGGGCCGAGGTGCAGGATATGAACATGTTCGACGAGGAGCTCTGAAGCCAGATCGGCAGCATCGACAGCCACGCCAACATCCTGTCGGGTTGGAAGTCAGGCTGTCCGAGGACGACTTCGTGCCGGAGAAAGGCAAGGACAAGTGGTCTGCGTGCCTCGCTTTGCTTCACTCTGGCGGGTCAGTTGGCGCGGCCTGCAACAGCACCGAGGACGACTGCGACTGCGACGACGTGATCCACGGGTCCGAGGTTGTTATTGCGAAGGAGGATGGCACGAACAGTGGGTCTGCGAGCCTCGCCTTGTTCCAACCGACTCTACGTCGGGATGGCCCTGAGTTCCAGCCCGCTGCAGAGGCCCGCAAGGCCAGACACAGTCTCCAGACCCTGCACGAGCTGTGATACATCACACACCTGGCCAAGAGTGCGTACCGAAAACAAGGTCGCGATTTTGTCAGAAATGGTGGCGCTCCTTGTTACGCATGACATGGACAGTGCTGCAGCTGAATGTTTCCTTGCAGCGCTCGAGCGGTTCAAGGCCTGGGAGGCCGTGGCCATCGATGTTCTTGCCACTGTACGGGTGAATACGCAGGCTCCGGCTCCGTCGTCAACCACAGCCTTGCCCGCTCTAGAATATATTTCTTTAGACCACGTGAAAGCTGCCCAAACACATTTGATGAAAGCTAAGATCAACTGTGCCAGTGGAGTGACTAATTGCGAACAGTGAGCCTTTTGCTGTGAAGCAGATTTCCTTCGCACCTGCCAAGAGTTATGAGTTGCTAGGCGCGAGGTGCGTAGCTTGGCGCGCTCTGAGAGACCAGCGGGCGCCTGCTGAGGCCCAGTGCGTGTCTAGGTCGATTGCCGGATTCGGCTTGAAATTTGCTTTGGTCCTTGAACGGGCCGATGTGGTCCTTGTGTCCCGGAGCGGCCTTTGTGGGCTTCTGTTGTTTTGCGTCGTGTTTGGCACGCCTTTCGCGCATGCTCCCCCCCACGGCGGCCCGTCTTGTCCTTTACTCCTCTCGTCCTTCCTTGCGTCCCCTTTCTTGGGGGGTTGCGTGGGTTTCAGGTTTGTGCCTTCCTGGTGGCTCCAGGGTTTGGGGGCTCCTCGTCGCCGCTGTCTTCGTCCCGCTTTGTCTCGCCCGTTTCCCGAGTGCGCGCTTCGATTTTACTTGCGCTTCGACCGACCGACCGACCGAGGGGGAGGAGGAGGGAGGATTGGGGGGAGAGGGGGGTGTTGATGATTCTACAGGCTTACGCCACATCCGCCGACCCTTTGTTTTTCTGTGGCGGCTGTCGCCGGGTTTCGGAGGCAGGTTCGGACTTTTCCATGGGTGTTTTGGAGCCTGTTGGGGCCTCTGTTGGGCTTCAGGGGGGCTTCCTGGGGCCTTTTGGGGGATCTCCTGGGAGTTTTTGGGGCGCATCTGGGGCCTCTTGGGCTTCCTGGCGGTCTCCTGGGACGGGGCGCGCTCTCTTGTGCCCGTCTTGGGGCTTTGTTGGGCCGTGTTGGGCGCCTCTTGGGCCGTCTGCGGGCTCTCTTGGAGGTCTCCCGGGCTGTCTTGGGGCGGCATCGGGGGCCTCTTGTGCCGTCTAGGAGCGTCGGCAAGCCGAGAAGGTGATTTTTTCCAAACATGTACGGTTTACGAAAGAAATGTGGCGACTTTTGCGTCTGGGGGCCGTCTTGGGGCGCATATTCAAGGCCTCTGCGGGTGTTTGGGGGGCCTTGGAGGCCGTATGGAAGCCATGGTCGGCGTCATGGCACGATGTTCTGGCGACTCGTGGCCCTCTTGGACGGTCTGGACGGGATCTTTGTGCCCTCCAAGACCGTTTTGGGGCTCTCTTCCCCCGCCCTCCCTGCGCGCATTGTCACGGACCGTACTGGGCCCAGGGGGGGGGGGGGAATTGCCGGTTTGGTGTCCCCGAGAGGGGGGGGGGAGATTATGGGGGGGGCAGTCTCGCACGACTAGAGACCCACAAGGGGTCGGCGGATGTAAACCATGTTGAACACGACGGGCACTATCTGCCACGTTCCGCGGCGTTTATTTCGTTTGATTTGGTTTCGTTTGGTTTGAACCGAGTGGCGATGCGCTGGTGCTATTTGGTTCGGCTCCATTCGCGTTGCGTTGTATCAGTTTCGCCACCACCACCACCCACACTGTCTTATTCCATCTGGGGAGAAATGGCCCTTTCCGGAGCCACAGGTCCGTTACGACAGGTGTCTGCGGATAGAGGCAAAACAGCGCCGTGGTGCACGGAACGGAGGGAAGGAGGTCAGATATGACGCGGGTGGACGTAGCTTGACTCTCACATCTCCCCATTCCTTCTCCCTCCTCCTTTCCCTCCCGCCTTTCTTCCTCCCCCGTCCCCTTTTGGCTTCTTCCATCGTCGTCAGCGTCGTCGTCGCCGTCGCCGTTGCCGTCGCCGTTGCCGTTCTCGTCGGCGTCGCCGGCACTCTCGCCGCCGCCGGCGTCGTCTTCGCCGCCGTCGTCGTTGCGGCCGCTTTCGTCATCGCCGCAGTGGTGTGGAGGTCCCGTGGCCGGCCGCCACCGCCCTTTGCCGTGGCAGTCCGAGGGAGCGGGGAATGGTGAGACCCCCGCCTGCTGATCCCAAACCCTGGGATCTTGGTTCGAAGTCGTCGGGCGCCCGAGGATGTGTGCATTTTCGTTGTGCATATGCGGGGCCTTCTCCTCCTCCTCCTCCTCCTCCTCCTCCTCATTTTTCGTTTTCCTCCTCGAGGGCCCCCGGCGCGTCTGCCCATGCCGCCGCCTTGCCAGGGTCGTTGAGGACAATCATGTTGGATGCCCGTCGCGCTTTCTTGGGCGACGGTCAAGGCCTTCGTGGGGCGTCCCCGTCGTTCCCGTGGGCTATGAGGGATGGGCGTGGACCCTTGGTGTTGGAGTGCGAGCCAGAAGCTACATGCTTCAAGTGGTTTCATTTGAGGTTGGACCGTGTTGGGCATCCTTTGGGCAGTTTTGGGGCCCTCTTCTGCCGGCGTGGGGCGCTCGTGGAGGCCTCTTGGGCTGTCTTGGGGCGGCCTTGGGGGCCTCTTGGGCCATCTTGGGGCGTCGGGAAGCACAAGGGGCGGAACGGTTTAAAAATGTACGTTAACAAGACGGAAGACGCACGTGTCAGGTACGTCCATGGAGAAATCTTTTGGGCCGTTTTGGGGCCCTCTTCTGCCCGCTGGGGGCTCTTTTGGAGGCCTCTTGGGCTGTCATGGGGCGGCCTTGGGGGCCTCTTGGGCCATCTTGGAGCGTCGGGAACCAGAAAGGGCGGAACGGTTAAACAGGTACGTTAACAAAACGGAAGACGCACGTGTGAGGTAAGTCCATGGAGAAGAGGATGGGCGGACAAATGTAGATGCGGAGTGCGAAAAAGAGAAAAACCGGATACCATGGCCATGGGCGACGCCGTGGAGACGAGAAAGATTATGACAATGCATTGCGCGAAGTGCATCCATGTGGCGCGCTCGGGCGGCTATCAAAGCCAGAGGCGTTCCCGCGTGTGCTCCCGGGCCGTTCACGGTGGGGTTCGGTTGCCTCTGAGGATGTTACGCGGAAGCATTCTGGACCATTCTGGCGGGTCCTATTTTGGGCAACCATGGGGGCGCGTTGGGGTTCGTGTGCGATGGTGTGGATGTGGTGTGCTTCGTGTGGTTCGTGATGGGTGTCTGTCCTGGTATGGTTGTGGTCGCGTGTTTGGTGCAGTGTGTTGTAGTGTCGGTGCGTGGTGTGGTTTGGTTGGTATTCGGTATGTGTTTGTGTGGTTGTCGTGAGTGTGGGTGTGTGGCACGTGTGTGAGTGTGTGTAGACGCGTGTGTTTGGTTCGGTTTGAAATGTGTCGTTGGGGTGCTTCATCAGTGTGGGTGAGGTGATTTTGATTGATGCGGCGTTCTCCCTGTGCGTCATGGGCGCGTTTGCCTTGGTGTACTTCCGACGCCACAAGGCGGCCGGCTTGGAACTTTCTCTGGGCTTCTCGGGAGCGTCCTGGGCCCACTTGGGCACTTCTCGAGGGTTTCTTGGGGCCTCGCTTCGCAAGCCTGGTCGAGGCTTCTTGGAGCGTCTTGGCGCCTCCTTGGGCCGTCTGGGGTGATGCTACGCGCCTTCGACCGATGATTCAGCGATTTTGGGAATTCCTGGACCCTTGTGAATTTGTTTTCGGAGGCTCCGAGCCAAGCCTGGGGAGCCCACGCTGCCGTGGAGGAGCTCAGTCTGGGGCCGTCCGGCTTCGGGTCGTCACGGGGGTGGTGGGGGGGAATCATCTTACACGCTTAGAGACTGGCAGGGGCGCGCCGGATTATAGAGGCGGTGGATCGGTTTTTTTGCGGTGACATTGTCGCTACGGGCGGGCTCCGAGCCAGTGCCTCGTGGCCCGCGCCCTACTTCCCGCCGTGCCTGCGTTGTGGGTACAAAGCCTTCGGGAGGTCTCCTTTAGAATTTCGCGGGGGGGGCTCCCGCGGGTCTGTTGGGGTCCGTGTCGAAGGTTCTTGGGGGCTGGTACGGGGCCGCTGTGAGTCCGGCGACGAGGACGACGACGATGAAGGGGTCATGGGTGCTGATCGGGATCACGGGGTTGACCTCTCGGAGGCTGCCTGGAGGCTGGTTCGAGGCCTCTTGGGAGCCGTTTCGGGGCCTTTTGGGGCCTCATTTGGACCTCTTGGTGGGTGCCTGGGGCCTCTTAAGGGGCCTCCTGGGGGTCCCTTGGGGCCTCTTGGGGGCTCTTAGAGCTCCTGGGGCCTCTTGGGGCCTCCTGGAGTTTCTTGGGGCCCCCTCTTGGGCCCGTATCGGGGTCCTCTTGGACCGTGTTGGGCATCCTTTGGGCCGTTGTGGGGCCCTCTTCTGCCGTCGTGGGGCTCTCTTGGAGGCCTCTTGGGCTGTCTTGGAGCGCCCTTGGGGGCCTCTGGGGCCATCTTGGAGCGTCGGGAAGCAGAAAAGGCGGAACGGTTAAAAAAGGTACGTTTTACGAAGGGAATGGGCCATTTTTCAGTGTGGGGGGCCCTCATGGGACGCATCTTGGGGCCCTCTTGGGGTGTCTTGAAGGCTCCGGAGGCTGTGTGGAGACCGTCTGGGGGCCATCGTCGTCGTCTTCGACCGGTATTTTGGCGACTCGTTGCCTTCTTGGACCGTCTTGGGCGCCTCTTGGGGCCTTCGTGGCCCGTCCTCGGGCCCTCCATGCCCCGGTGGCGCGTTCGTAAGGGGCCGGGGGGGGGTCGAGTATCCAGTTTGGGGTCCCTGGGGGGGGGGTTATGGGGGGGGAACAATCTCACACGCCTAGAAACCCACAAGGGGTCGGCGGATTATGACGATGATGATGATGATGATGATGATGATGATGATGATGATGATGAGGAGGAGGAGGAGGAGGAGGAGGAGGAGGAGGAGGAGGAGGAGGAGGACCACTGCAAA